AATTGAGGGGGCCGGCCCAGTGGTCCAAGCGGTTAAGTGCGCGCGCACTCCCCTGTGGTGGCCCAGGGTTCGCCGGTTCGGATCCTGGGTGCGCACCGACGCACCGCTTGGCAAGCCATGCTGTGGCGGCGTCCCATATAAAGTGGAGGAAGATGGGCATGGATGTTAGCCCAGGGCCAGTCTTCCTCAGCAAAAAGAAGAGGATTGGCAGATGTTAGCTCAGGGCCGATCTTCCACACACACACACAAAGATTATAATTGAGCCGAAAGATTCCTGTCACCTAGTGACATCACAGCCATCGTGACACATTACTCACCATGTTTTTGGTGATGCTGGTGTAACAAACCTGCCGCTCTACCAGTCGTATAGAAGTACAGCACATACAGTTAGGTCTAGTACATAATACTTAATGATAAACAACTACATTACTGGCTTATGTATTTACTATACACACTTTTATCATTATTTTAGAGTGCACTCTTTCTACTTATAAAAAAGTTCACTGTAAAACAGTATGCCATGTTACACTGGCAGCAGCTTTATACATCTCATGTTCACCTTGTCTCTTGATTGCATCATTTCTCTTTTCCTTGATTTAATCTCGTGTTGTTTTGTTCGTCATGGCCCCTAAGCACACAAAATCCACTGCTAACATTGCCAGTAAGAGGCCACATTGAGTCATTGACCTGGAAATGAAATTAAAAGTCATTGAGGACTGCAAAGTTGGAAAATCAGTGATGATTATTGCTCGCCAGTCAGGCAGGTCCCGTTCCACCATAGCTACGATCTCGAAGAACAAGAAGAGTGATGGAAGTTGTTAAAAGATCTGCTTCACTTAAAGCAACAAGACTAACAAAAATTTGAGAAGAGCCTATTTCAGACATGGAGAAACTTGTAATGAACTGAAGACCCAGCAGCACATCCCTCTCAGCACCATGATGATCATCACCAAAGCAAAAAGTTTGCAATGTTGAAAGAAAAGACTGGACCAACGACAATGTTGAATTTCCTGCCAGCTCTGGGTGGTTTAAACAACTCAAGAATCATTGTTGATTACATCATGTGAAAGTGAGTGGCGAGTCTGCGAGTGCTGATGTGAAGGCAGCTGAAGAATCTTTGGAAACTCTAGATAAGCTGATTATAGAGGTAAATTACTTGCCAGAGCAAACATTCAATATGGATCAAAGCTCCCTGTTCTGGAAACAGATGCCTGAAAAGACTTTCATCCATAAGGAGGCTAATCAACGCCAGATTTCAAGGGTTTTAACGACAACAGTCTTGCTTAGGATCAATGTTGAAATTGAAACCCTTTATGACCTGGCACAGTGAGAACCCCAGGGCCTTCAAGCATATCAGTGAGCACACACTGCCAGTGTACTACAGGAGCAATAAGAAGACATGGACGACCCAGGTCCTCTTCCAAGATGCCCTCCTGAATTGCTGTGCCTGTGAAATGGAAAAGTACTGCTTGGAGAATAACATACCTTTCAAGATTTGGTCATTGTTGATGATGCTCTTGGACATTCTCCTTTTATTGGTGATCTCCACCCCAATATCAAAGCAGTATTTCTCCCTCTAAATGCCACCTCTTTGATCCAACCAGTGGATCAAGGAGTTATAGCAGCTATTAAGACCTACTACCTGAGGAGCACTTGTGACCAGGCTATTGCTGCAACTGAGGAAGACCCTGAGAAGACACTGATGCAGTGCTGGAAGGATTACATCTATGACTGCATCAAGAACCTTGCTTGGGCTCGGGTGATATCATCAAGAAGTATATGAATGGCATCTGAGAGAAGACACTCAAGAGGTTCGCCCATGACTTCAAAGGATTCACCAAGGAGGAAAAGTTGCAAAAATCACCAAGGCTGTGGTTGAGGTGCCAGACAACTTTAACCTGGGTGTGGCTGAGGATGACACCGAGGAGCTCCTAGACACGATCCCTGAGGAACTCACTACTGAGTTGTGGGAACTGGAACAGGAATGCCTGGCTGAAGAACAGGCAGAGAAGAAGGAATTGCAGAAGAAAAAGAATCCCCAAGAAAATTCACAGTAAAAATTCAGTGAACAACATTCACAGTGAAGGGTTTAGCAGAAGCTTTTGCAGACCTCAACAAGCTCCCTAAAAAGTTTGAAAACATGGACCCCCAACACCGAAAGGTTTTCATTAATAGACAGGAATGTTCATGGTACATTATCTGCTTACAAGCAAAGCTATGAGGAAGAAAAGAAACAAACCAAGCAAACCACCATGGACATATTTCTGAAAAAGTGACACGTCCTCAAGAAGAGCCTCAGGCAGGTCCTTCAGGAGGCATTCCAGAAGGCATTGTTATCCTAGGAGATGACAGCTCCATGAGTGTTATTATCCTGGAAGACCTTCCAGTGGGACAGGATGTGGAAGTGGGAGACAGTGACACTGACGATCCTGACGCTGTGTAGGCTTAGGCTGATGTGTGTTTGTCTTAGTTTTTTAACAAAAAAGTTTAAAAAGTAAAAAAAAGCTTATAGAATAAAGATTTAAAGAAAATATTTTTGTACAGTTGTACAATGTTTTAACCTAAGTGTTATTACGAGTCAAAAAGTTAAAAAGAATCAAAAAATTTATAGTCAAAAAGTTACAGTAAGCTAAATTTATTATTGAAGAAAAATATTTTTTATAAATTTAGTGTAGCCTAAGTGTGCAGTGTGTATAAAGTCTACAGCAGTGTACAGTGAGGTCCTAGGCCTTCACATTCACTCCCCACTCACTCACTGACTCACCCAGAGCAGGTTCGTCCTGCAGGCTCCATTCATGCCAAGTGCCCCATACAGGTGTGCCATTCTTTATCTTTTATACCATATTTTTACTGTACCTTTTCTATGTTTAGATATGCAAATACTTACCACTGTGTTATAACTGCCTACAGTATGCAGTACAGTAACATGGTGTACGGGTTTGTAGCCCGGGAGCAATAGGCTACACCATACAGCTCAGGTGTGTAGTAGGGTGTCCCATTTAGGTTAGTCTAAGTACACTCTACGATGTTCACACAATGACAAGATCACCTAACAATGCATTACTGTAGGAGGATTAAGTGAACTGACACATGAACTTCTCACGGGTGGGGAGCGGGGTTCGGCACACAGCAGGGCTCAGCTCAGCTCTTACCATCAACACCACGGGGGCTGTTTTGTGCAGAATTCCATCACCCTGGACCTTTCATGTGCTCTATTATAGGAAAGAAAAACACAGAAAATATCCACTCTTTAATGCTTCTTGCTTCATTGAGGACTCTAATAATAAAAAAAAGGCACTTCCAAGACAAATTAAAAGTAACTTTATTTACTGCTAATCTTACCATGAAATGCCTATAAGAATAATTACAAAATAATGCAGTTTTTTTACACTTTTGGTATCATCCTGACATGATGATCCTTTCACAGAAAGGACTATTTACAGTTTACGTAAATATAAAGCTCATTGGTGCAAATACAAACGAAGACGTGTGGAGGCAATATATCCCACATCGGTCTGCTGAGTAGCAATGGATGTTAACAAATGCAGAATAAATAACAGCTTTACACTTTTCTTTTCCTTTTTTATTTTTTTAAAACCATTTCCAAATACAAAAATGTAGACATTCAAAATGGATTTTCATATACATATATATAATTCTGCTGCAGTGGATCAAAAAGCAAAAATGTCTTTAGCATGTTTCATTTTTGAAAACCCACAAGACTATTTATAAATCCACTTACAAAGAGGGTGTGCCAAACCACACCAACGAGGGCAGAACCGGGAGCCCTGACTCCGGAGGGAACAGAGAAAACGAAGCACAGAGCACTACCTATTCAATTAAACACGTTTTTCCTCGATGTTCGCAGGAATACTAAGAGCTGAGAAAACGCACCACACATCATGATCCAGGCTCTTTAGAGTCAAACTCACCAGGACTTGTCTCTCCAGCATCGATAAGAAACGGTGGATTATTTAATGACTTATCAATAAAAGTCATTAGATGATCCTTTCATACAGAGACAGCCACTTCTATACATTCTGATATCTGAAACTTTGGTTCTTTTAAAACATCTGATAAAAGCAAAATAATTTCATGACTCTGGAACTCCACAGACTTTTTTTGCCTTTTGAAGTGTCAGTTAAACTACTGTGACGAGGCTTGTGTTGACACAGCCCTGTCACATCCACGTGGGGACACGAGGGGCAGCAGAGGTGGAGCGTGTTCACATTCTCCATGTGTTTGTAATACTGACTCTCACCCACGGTAACACTGCAAGTCCACTGTACCCTAAATCTATTTCTTTGTTACCTGAAAACTTAATTTTGTACAAAAATATGACTGTTTCTTTAGAAAATAATATATAATTTTTTTTAATAAAACCTGGTAGATAGAAAAAATGGTATATCAAAGTATGGTAAACAAATGTAAAATACTTAGTCATTAAAAACATCTCGTAGAAAGACCTTGTGCTAAATGAAGCACTCTCCCCAAGTGCGCGGCCCCACTGCTCTCAGTGAGGGTCAAGTGCCTCTCCTGACTTGGTTTCACTATGTACCCTAACAGCAGTAGCAGAAACCATCTTAAAAACGGCCCTTTCTCCAACACTAACATTTTCCGTACACTTCTACTTCAACATTAACAAGAGACACCCTCTAGATCAGTGGTTTTCAACTCTGTTGCATATTGGCTCCATCTGGAGAACTTGAAAAGAAAAGGCAATTCCACCTGGGTCTCACCACAAGAGGCTGATTTAACTCATCTGGGATGCGATCCACAAATTGTTATTTTTTTAAAACCTCCCCAAATAATTCTGTTATGCAACCAGGGTTGAGAATCACGGCAAAAGACACATGAGAAAACAGTTATTCTTAACTCTATACATCAACTGATTGTCTGCGGGTACTATTCATTCAGTGACACATCCTCCATATTAAACAACAAAAACCATGTAGACAAGACAGTCACGGAAACTAAAATAAAAAGTTATTAGTAAGCTTTAAACACATATAAACACACACAGCCTCATGTGTTTATATATGTATAACATATATGTATAGTTAGGGTATTTTGGTTAAGCAGAAACTAGTATTACCATAACTTGTTCTTGATTAAAAAAGAAACACCACCAAGCACAAACATGTTCTAAGACATTTCCACAGCTGTAACAGAAACTGGTTTTGGAAACCCCACAAAATGTGTTATGACATGAACACAACTGATCTGTGACTTGGATGAGGAACTCAGCCGAGCCCTAGAGCTTTCTGGAAGAGCAGGAGGACAGGGCACTGACCAGGCGTGAAGGAGTCACAAGGCATCGTAGCGAGTGCAGTCTCTGGTTATTGCTTAATTCACGTCTTCTTGACCCGGGGCCACGCCTCTGCTATGTACACGTCTTTGGCTTGCTAGAACCATATGATTGTGACGGCTTCGTGAGTGTTCACTCTGGGACAGCCCCAGTGGGCAGTAATGGCTACACACTAGGCAATGGTCTCCCCACTAAAAGAAGAGACTCGTCTTGCCTCTCCCTCAAAACATGAGCATTCTTGAGGGAGTGAAAAAATAATTTACCAGCAAATATCTAACAACATCTTTCACGTGATAAAAAATGTGATGTTACATGTAATTGAACTAAAAAACAAAACAATGATCGAACACACCACAGCTCAATATTCTGAAGGCTTGGTAACCAGCAAAGGCATCTCCTTTCAAAGGACCACGAACTTCCCGGGCACTTGTCTTGTTGTACATTCTCCGTAGTTCCCTTACCTCTGTGTGACACTTAAAGTGCGATTGTCCCAAAGCTTTTATTTCCGTCTCAAATATAAAGAAAAAGAAAGAGCAATGTTTGGGGTGAAGAAAATATGGCACAATAATAAGTCAAGAAGGAGCACATGGCTTTCACCACCTCTAGCAAACAGCAGGCCGCCCGTATAGCTGCATGTAGACACACTTTATACAACAAACTCTGGAACTTCATCGTGAGTGAGATCCAGAGAAAAGTATTTGCTGGTTCTTTTGACCGGAAAAGCATCTTGGATGTTGACACACTGCTGAGCCAAGCAGCCGCTGCAGTAGAGGCCTTCCTCGTCCAGTCCATGGCCACACCCAAAGGTGTAACTCTGAGCCGTGTCTTGACACAGACCTGCAAGGTGCAGGAAGTCTTTCTGGTTAAGTCTGATGTCATCAAGGCTCAAGCTGTGTCGATCGCTGGAGGTCTTTGGTTTTCGACATATAGTCTGCAAAATAAGAGAAGGGTGAAACAACTTTAAAGAATATAGACTAAAGGGAAAGCAATCTTCTCCCTGCAAAGAGAGAGGCTGCAAAATCATAAAAGGCTAAGGAGTCCCTGTATGTTAGGAAGTGGTTTCCAATCCAAGGTTTCTGGGCCCGAGGCCTGTGGGGAAATAGCAGCAGCAGCAGCAGCAGTGAACGCTCATGGAGCCTGCACTACCTGCTGGCCCTGATCTACACCAGCTACACGCACGCACGCACGCACTCCTCCCAGAGCCCCAGGATACGGGTGCTGCTCTTCCCCCATTCTACGGATGAGGAACCCACGGCACACAGGAGGAAACGCAACAAGAATCCAACGTCTGCTGCATCTCAGAAATCAAGCAACTGCCTTAAAATAAGGCTGAATGGGTCAAGATGCCGTCTCTCTGTCTTTTCACTAGGATATGGCAATTCAGTGTGACAACACTCTCACACTGAAGGCTGTTATTATTTGAATAAGAAATGGGAAAATAGACCAATTATTAAGAAACACAGCTTGAAGAACTAGTTTTTAAAAGCCAGAATCTTGGTGTAGAAAAATAATACAAAGTGTTTCTGGTGCAGAAAAGGTTGGGAGGCAAGCCCCAGAACAAGGAGGCAGCTCCTGAACCTGCAGGGGTCATGTTCTGCCACACGCTTCACACGCCAGGAAGCACGCTCGGAACTCACCATCCCAAGAGGTGGCACAGGCTGAAAACAGAACAAGTCGGCAAACGGTTCAAAAACTACATGGAGGGAAGACACTCCATGGTTATTTAGAGAAAGGGGGCATCCTCTCTCTCACTTCTTGCTGCTCAACACCACAAAGGCCTTGTCAAGACAAAGTTTCACTCAGCTGGGGGCAAAACTGACAGAAGAAGAGATCAAGGCCTGAGCATGACAATGTTTCACTAGGGTGTCACACCCGAACACAGCGTTTCACCGGGCTGTCACACCCGAGCAAAGCGTTTCACCGGGCTATCACATCCCAACACTCCCTGAAGACGACGACCCCCTCCCCAGGTGCTGAGGCGATTTCACACGTGGAATTCATTCGGTCATCACCACAAATCCTCCAGGATGCGCACAGATGCTCTCCCCATTTTGCAGGTGTGGAGTCTGCACCCCCGCTGTGCCTACAACATGCATGTACACTAAGAGCTGACACTGAGTGCAGAGCTGGTGTGCAGGCAGTGTGGCCCTGGAGCTCGTTGTCCTAATCCTCACACTAAACACAGTGCTCTGAGAAATTACTCACTGGAATTTTCAGAAAGATACTAATAAGATGTCATGTTCACACTATGGCTGCTTAAACGGAGGTAAAAGAAAGAAGGGAGACACACAGGGGATAAAAAACAAAAAGGACAAAAAGACCGAGAGGCAGTGCTCAGAGAACAGAGGGACCCTGAGTCGTGGGTGACGTCTGAACACTGCAGCCATGAGAGTCGGAGTATTGAGACTCACCTGTATCTTTGACATTTTTATTGTCTAACCAGTGATCACAGGTCATCAGATGCTCTAGCTGAGCAATCTAATGCAACAGTCAGAGTGGGAACACTTCTCCATCACACACCTGACAAAACTCTGCTCCCAGTTGCTGAGGTCAATCAACACACACAGTTAACCTGAAGCCTGAGGCCAGAGGCTTCCCACCCACATAAAGTACGCAACAAAAGACATCATTTACCCAAATAAAGATCAACACAAAGACAAGCAGAACTAGTAAATAAAACGGAAATAAATTCAGAATAAAACTGGAATGTTATCTCTAGTAAGAATCATCTCCTTAGGGCTTTTAATTTTCACTTGTTTGTATAAATATAAACGTTAAGTTCCTATTCCTATTTAACACTGTTTACAACTCCAGTTCCTGATTTAAATTTTTTAGGTCCTTCCGTACCTGTGGAAGAGAATCAGTACTCTGGCCACGAAGTTTGACAACCGTTTCCGAGGAGCTGGAGGTGGAAGAACCGACTTCTTTTACGATCAACCCTGAAGTGAAACAGAAAGGAAAATGAAGCCTGCCCACGGTTCACACCTCACGCCCCGTCTGACACACCAGGACAGAGGGGCACACGTCACCCGTCACTGTGGAGCTCACTGTGACTCGGCTGCAACACTCGCTCTCGCCTGATGATGAAGAGGCAGCAGGGAGATAAACGTGGGGTGAGGGAGTAGGAGTTAGAAACTGAATTTTCCAAAGTAAGCGTCTAAAGTGATGATGTCGGTAATGAAGACAAGGACCGCGGGTATGAGCAGTCTCCTTCCTCTCTCCCGGAGCCTCCCCACTCCCACATCACACCAACTTCGAGTTCACCCTACAGAACAGAGACGCTCCTCCTGGGTCTGTTCCACCCGGACGTGCAGCGGGTAAGCATGGGGCCCCGGCCGCTGGAGTCCCCAGGACTGGGCTGCAGCCGGGCCCAGACAAGGAATTAGCTCATGTCCCGGCCAGTGGCTTCGCCTCCCTGTGGATCAGCGTCCTCCTCTCAGAACACAGGGCTGACAGCAGTGCCTATCCAACAGAGCTTTAACAATGATGAAGGCACAGAGGCACGGGAAGGGCTCAGCGCAGGGTTGCAGACAGGGCACACAGTTCACGAAGCTCTTCCTGGCTGACGGGGACCCTGGGGCACATACCTCCTGGGCAGACCGCACTAGTAAGAGACCAAAATGGGAGGCGACAGTGAAGATTCAGTTATGGATCTCCGAGGTCAATGGAGCCCCTAACCATGCAGCACTCGTATTTTGGAAGCAGGATTCCAGGGCTGACGCCTCCCTATGTGACTGTGGCAGGGGAGTAAAGCTCTCCGAAAGTGTGTTTCAGAAGGTAAAACTGCCAATAAGAACTGGAGAGATGGAGGGGAAGGCCACTAACGTTCTCCTTCCAACAGATGAGGGGAGATCCTTAAGGCCAAACAGCTCCTTAAGTCAAGTACCTTCCCACCTTATGAAGAGCCTTAAGTAAGGGGACTTTATCCAGCCACTGCTGGTGTGCTGTCCCTCAGCTCTTCCAGTCTCTCTGTGATGCAGTGTCTACCAGACTGCCTGATGACCAGTGCAGTCGAGACGTGACATAGGAAGACGTTCCTGTTGTTACGTGCAGACAGTTTAAAAACTCAGGCAGTACTCACGTTTTGGGGGTTGGTACAAACTGCTTTAGTAAAGAGTCCCTCTCTAGAAAGATTCTTATCTTCCAAAAAGCATTAAACTCTTGAACAAATCTTCACAGGAAAATGAGGACTGGTGCATGTCTGGCACTTGGTAAGCTTCCTTCTGGATTTCCTGGTAAATGTACTTTTGGCTGCCAGGCCTGTAAATAATCTGCTCCAGAACACAGACCCAGCCCTAGAAGAGTCAGCACCACGCCTGGTGCTCAGACATGGAACCAGTCCTACCAAACTCCCACAAGAAGGGAGGGGAGGACAAGCAGTGTGCATCACCACTACTCAATCTGATTCTCAATCAGTAAACTCAATATAACGCTGTCCATGCACCTATAACGTGCAAATAATTGTCAATGCATAGCTAATATACACTGGAATGTATTTATAAGGAAAAAATTCAATATAATACAGAAAATGGCACAAAAGGGCCGAGTTTGGCCAAGAGCTCTAAGCACGTGGAGAGCAGCCAGCGCGCGGGGTCTACTGGCCAGGCGGAGTGAGTCTGCAGCTGCCGGCAGGCCTGCTCCTGGAGAGGCTCTGGAGGCCACACTTCTGTTGATCAGCAACGGGAGCTCCGCCATGACAGGCTCCTGGTGCTCTTGCAGACTGAGGGCCAGGGTGATGGGGACTGTGCGCTGGCCCCTGCTCGGCACACAGGGAGGCTCACTGTCAGAGACTGCGGGTCTTGACAGAGCAATGGCAGGCTACCCCAGGTGTAGCAGGGTCTTTCCCTCAAAGCTCCAAGTGGCAGAACAAGCAGCAGCTAGGCCATTTCCACAGTGCTGGTTGCTAAGGCACACTTTTCTCCAGAACAGAGACTAATGCATGACATGTGACAAACGCAGTTAGAAGTGACTGAGGTTTGAAAACAAACCAATACTGCTGCTATTGTTTTTAAGATAACATCTTTCATTTGATAGAAATATACATTATGTATTATATTATATAAACTATATGACCCTATAATAGGGTTGCAGGGAATGCACGTTTTCTGGAAGAATTCATCAAATATGGAACTTACGAGTGTCTCTTTATGTCAACTTTTTTGGACACTTTTTCCTCAGACTCCTGTACCCAATATGATACAGTCAGGAGAAAACAAACCAAGCCAGAGGCCAGACTTCTGTTTCTATCCACCCACAGAGCATCTGCCCTCTCTAATCCGCAGGTTTTCTCATGTGTCAAAAGGAGGAGGCCAGTCTGAAGGGTCTCCAAGAACCCTTCCAGATGTATTACATGATTCTCTGATGATCATTTAAGGTAGCAAAAAAAAGAGACAAAGCCTTATTACACAGCTTTGTCCAAGCGTGGGGCAGAGGATGCTCATGCCCAATCCTGGAGCTTCTCCACCTTCCCCTGCTCCCACAGACGGCACTCGTCTTGTGCTTCATAACACTGACTTGGAAAGGCTCGTCTTCTAGTCCTGGCTCTGATCCAGAGCTCCCGCCGCCCTTTCTATGTCTGAGGCACCTGCTTCTTGGTCCAGGAAAACCTACTTCCTAAGGAGAAGAGCTTCCCACAAGAGCTCACCGGAGTGTCCATTCAGCTGCCGTGACAGGAGCATGTCCTCCGTGATATAGATGCACATGTCTGGGCTGACTTCCAGGGACTCTTCATTCATCCGCTCCAGGTCCCTGGGGTCATCAACCAACATCTCTATTTCTGACACAGAAGAAGGAAAAGACATTGAGTGACATGAAGGGACGTGGCCACCATAATTCACAGCCAAACTTTGAGGAGGCAATGTAATTACTTATGTTTAAAAACAAATTTGCTAATGAGAGTCTACAATGGGAAACTCTAGGGACAATTCTCAACTAGATGCTATGTGCTCTCTTTTTCACAGGACTGCTGTGTTATCTACGTGTCTGCTAATGGCATGATTTGATTGTAGATTACTCTTTACTCCTTAAGAAAGAAGAAAAGCTGTGCTATCATGCTGTGGCGACAAAGGGCAGACAGACTGAGGGGCCGTCAACAGCAGACCGCTGACACAGGTAGAACAACTGGTCCTGAGCTCCCGTTTCCCACAGCTGCCCACTCTCAGGGCATCTGGTGACTCAAACTGAGAGCCATAGGAATTCCTCAGTAACCACACATACGTTATGCAGTTTTCCTTAATGGGGTCAGTATCTTTTCCCCAAACCTGAACGCTAGAGCAATGATCTGAGACAGAAAAGTAATAAAAAAGATGCACACAAATGCTAAGTTTGGCTGATATAGGCTCTAGGTCTCGTCTTATCTCCTTAAGACAGTTAGGTAGGGCCGGCTCCGTGGCTTAGCGGTTAAGTGCGCGCGCTCTGATGCTGGCGGCCCGGGTTCGGATCCCGGGCACGCCCCAAGGCACCACTTCTCCGTCCAACCCGAGGCCGAGTCCCACGTACAGCAACTAGAAGGATGCGAACCTATGACATACAACTATCTACTGGGGCTTTGGGGGGGAAAAAATGAATAAATAAAATCTTTAAAAAAAAAAAAAAAGACAGGTAGCCAGGTGCAATACTCACTAACTAATCAAACGGCCTACGCTCAAATCCTCCTTTTTTGCAGAAGCCTGAGACATTTCTGTCAATATCACTGCATCCACTCTTTTGTCCTAACCAATGCCTACATAATCAGGGAATCAGAAATACAGACGTGAGGACTGCAGGACCAGCCTCTTCTCTGCTTCATATAAACCAACTAGGACTTAGAATCCACAAATCCATCCTGTGGCCACAAAGGATCATGACTAGAGGGAGACTGTTCACAAACACAAGCAATTCCACCAAGCCATTGGGGAAGACGGCAGGACACCTCTCCTTCTCTATACTACTCCTTAGTTGCTCTCCAGACATCAATTCCACAGAACCAATATTTGACAAAAAAAACCCAGTACAGAAACAGAAGAGAGCAGTGACGACGGGTCAGGGTTAGCTCTGGGGGTCTGGGGGAGGTTACCGTCATCCTGCAAATCCTCTTCCAGGCGGTCCTTGCCGCCACTCTCCACTCCTGAGGTGTGGGAGCTGCCATGGCTGGTCATCGAACTGCAGGTTTTCAGCTTGCGGTGGATGGCGCTGCCAGAGTAGCTGTCCTCCGGTCCTGTGTCCCGGGGCTTGGTGTCGGCCTCGATGCCCGAAGTGTGGGAGCTGCTGTGGCTGGTGGTGGAGTGACGCGACAGGCGCTTGTGCTTCATGCTGCCAGCGCTGCTCCCGCTGGCCCGGGACCGCTTCTCCAGCTGGTCCATGTCGAGGTCCAGGTTGTCGCTGATGTACGATTCCCGGTACTGCTTCTTCTCTGTGTGGTGATGAACACAGCTCGTCATTACATCAACCAAGACAGAAGGGAGGGCTGCTTAGGTTACCTGAGTCATCAGGCCAAGAACAAGTGCAGTTTCACACCCAGAACCTAGTGACTAGGAAGTGCTGATAATTCTCATAGGAGCTCAACTTCAGAAGCCTGCAGCGGGGATGAGAACCAGGACAACAGACTCGAGGGGAGTATCGTTTCAAAGCTTCAAACACTAATGACAGTGCTACTCAAAGTATCTGCAAGCTGTTAGTGGTCCACAATGAAATAAGTGCAGCAGCTGAGAATACACATTGAGAAACTCTTAGAGCAACCTGACATTGCCACGACAGCCACTAATATAACTCTGTATTTTGCAAAAGTACCTGTCCACAGTGGATTAGGAATTTTAAAAAATCTGGTCCTTCCCCACAGACAATCTCAGAAGCACTGCTATAGAAGACTGTTTAATAAATACACTTAGGCTAGTTGCCATTCATTTTATTTGTTAATTTGTTCAATCTGGTCCATTGTTAGCTTAGCTCTAACTGCTGAATACCATTTAAAATAAAACTATTCTTCCTAGAATTTCTTTCAAAAAGTTCTAAAATTTGGGTTTTCATTAATGAAGATTGTTTTTCTCCATTTAGGCTGAATGAGTGAGGCTTTATCATCTATTTAGAAAACAAGTTTGAAATCACTACTGGTTTGATGATTTATACCCATGTGGCCTCTGATAGGTGAAACTGTTCTTCGATTTAACATGTCAGTGCTGGTCTTTAATGCAGTCAAAGACACAATATTGCAAAGTCCCTCTTATCAAATGCTAAACTAACCATTACATAAAGGCAGAGTCACAACTAAGCTGCAGGTGTACAACTGACACAAAAATATTATTTTTGTGTTTCAGGTCAGAAATTTAAAACAGAAATAGTTTAGCTTCCTTATATTTTTAATACTTATGAGAAATAACACATTAGAACAACGTTAAGAGTGCAGGGCTGGCTTGGTGGTATAGTGGTTAAGTTCACACACTCTGCTTAGGTAACCTGGGGCTCGCGGGTTTGGATCTCGGGTGCAGATCTACACACCGCTCATCAGGCTATGCTGTGGCGGCATCCCATATATAAAATAGAGGAAGACTGGCACAGTACGTTAGCTCAGGGACAATCTTCCTCAAGCAAAAAGAGAAAGATTGGCAACAAATGTTAGCTCAGGGCCAGTCTTCCTCACCAAAAAAAAAAAAAAAAAAGAAGAGTGCAGTTCGTGAATGTTAAATTGATATTATTTCAGAAACTGCTAACTAGCAGACTAATTGGGTTCTCATGGGCCTGTTAATAGATGTAATTGTCTTGTTTCTTGATTAAGTGAAAATACTTGCACTCCTCATGTCTGAATCCACCTCTGAAGTATAATCACCATAGGCTCCCCAGAGAGGTAATGAGCATCAGCAGAAAGAGAGATGCTCTCCAGGATGCAAAGCAGAAAAAATGCTGGAGAAGGCCGTGTGTACATTTCTGGGCTCCAGCCCATTCAGGAAAATTCTAAGGAATCGGGCTGAAACACAAAGGTGGTTGTGTGTACCCACACAGAAGGCAGATCAGACAGGACATCAGAGCCAAGCACATACATCGCTGCAACGAAAGTGACCCATCTCCTAGGGCTGCCCCAGGTTCTAACAATTCCTATCTTCTGAAGGCAAAAGGGGTTGAGATGAAGATGGAGAGCTAACGGGGTTTGCAAAATTCTCAATTTCTGTTCACTGTCGTATCATAATAATAGCCATGCAGCCCTTGAAAGGGTAGAAAGAGAAAAAAGTAAAAAAAAGTGCTACAGGGTGTTGGAGTGCTAAGACGATTGGGAAATGTGGGTCTAATAATTCAAAAGCTTTTCTGCCTCTTTACAAATAGCCCTTTCACTCCCAACTTCTGAACAGCTTTGGAGCCAATTTTAGTTATGCTGTATTCACTGGTCCTCTTCCTAGAGGACGAGCACGTGCGGCCTGCTCTCTCCCTGACAGGAGCCTAGTGTCAGTGTGCCGGCGCAGCCGTGGTGCTCCACGTGACTGCTTCTGTTCCCTTATGGTGCTGGATCACTTAGATCCTCTGCAAACATCTAAGAAGCTTCGTACCACTCAGATTCAAACTGAGAGAAACATTTAAGTAATTCTGAAATTTACTCTAAGAAATGCACAATGCAACCTCTCATCCCCAGTAATCACTGGTGTCAACAGCGTAGATGATGGATACACTGGTGTTCTTTTGACTCCCTCTGTTGTAAAAGCCCGGAGGCCACAAAGTTTCTCAGACGTTATTCTGGAATATAACACAGTCAACGTGACCTCCTGATGCACGACTTAAGAATAAGCTCCAGCCACTGAACAGAGTTGCGTTAAAAAAGTTTTTAATGACACAGGCATTTTATCCCCTCTCTTTTAAACTCTACGGAAGCATTCTCGTGGTCATTTTCTACCATAACACGCTGAAACAGTGTTTCAGATAGGGTGATTCTAAATGAAATTTAATTAAGAAAAATATAGACTCTTTTTGTGCTGTTTTTTCACTAAAGTAATGTTGAGAAAAGGGCTTTCTGGTTAAAATGATGCAGCCCTTGAGTGTGGGTGAGATAAATGGACTCAGGCCCAGGGAAGCCCAGAGTCAGTTTCAGGCTTTCTTCAGACCTGGAGGAATCTCTAAGTAGAAGAAACTAAGTATGCAGAAAAAAAACCAAAGCTGTCCCCCTACACTTTCCACATAAAAGATCTAATTTACACCCCATCTCTCCTTCCCTGCCCCCACTCACATAAGCCCCAAATGCACTGGGACCATACCTGATAACAGACAGAGCCCAGCAATCTGGAGAACTCAAAACTCTGCGTGATTTTACCTGAGAGCCTATAAGGAGGCTCACTAACTCCCTCAGGTTCTAGAGGGCTCCCTTAAGGTCATCTAAACAAGAATTCACTAAAATGCTGCTGGCAGAGAGCTTACGGAATCAGTGAACGTCTTGAGGTGCCAAGCTGGCCATTTAGGAATGAGGCTGACTTGGCGAATGATGGGCTCTGCACCTGACTACGTCACCATCCTTACAAGTCTCCTCAGCACTTCTGCCCCGTCTGAATTTCTCTTAATATGCACGTCAGCCTCAGAGAGAAATGTGCTACAGCGACGAGTCATCCTGGGGAAACACTGGCGGTCGGTCAGGCAGCAGAGGAAGCCGATACCCCTGACAGTGACACCAACTCTCTCCGAAGCAGACGAAGTTTGGTGGCAGAGCGTGGGAAAGGATTCATGCTCTCATTGCTGCTTAAATTACAATGGCATCTCCATACTGGGCCTCATTTAGATTTAGACCGCTTTTGAGAGAAACCAATCAGATGTGCAAACCTCTATAAGGTTTTTCATTTGTGAAGAGAGGACAGGTATTGTCCTTTTTCGGTAGGAAAGGTGAGGTCTGAGAGGTCAAAATTTGTTTCAGACACAGACCTAAGATATGAATCTGCATCCTAATGTTCATGCAAATATCCCAAAAAGAATCTAATAGAATTACCAAGAATTACCACAATGTGAATTTGCAAAACAAATTGAAGACATTAAAAAATAAACAAATATGCAAAGTAGCATTTCTGGGGATAAGAAGTTGGGGTGTTTTAAATGGAGAATCCACAGGGTGCCGCCACTCAAGAGAAGGGTAGATAATGCTGTCAAGCTGAAGCCTGCATGGGAGCCCCTCGCCCTGCCCTCCTCCTTCCTCACAGTGACTTGCCCCCCTTTTCAGGGCCCAGGACTCTGCAGCCCCAAACGTCCTGCTCTGTTCTGTGTCTCAGCAAAGCTCCCACAGAACTGGCTGACAAAATCTTGACATGAATATTCCCTCTCCTCTGTCATTCTTGCTGAGCCAGACTTGGGGGCCCCTCAGCAGTCAATGAGAGAGGCTGTGGCACTTCTGTGACCCGCCTTCACTGCCACTCTAACCTACGGAGTAACGGCTGGAAGGAATCGGCATCCAGCGGACAGCAGCACCAAGGTGGACCCGCGCATGTACAGGGCTCAGAGGAGACAAGCCTGGGCCTGCACCTTCATGTGGTGGCTTTTTGCCAAGGATGTTCAAGCCAAGCGTGGGGAGGGGCGTTAAAGGACAAGAGTAACCTCGGGTGTGGCAGACAGTGACAGGGCAGGTGGGCTCGCGGCTGGCCCTTGCCTTCCGGGATGGAGCTGAGAAGGAAACAGGAGCGCTGCTCTGAATCTGGACAGGCCCAGCCCCAGATCCCACTCTTCAGGAGACTAGTGCCGGGTCGTGGCAGCTGCAGAGCGAGGGGCCAAAGATGGCAAAGGTGCCCAAGACCCCGCCATACCTTCGCTTTCCTCCAGCTTCCGGATGTGGCGCAGGACAGGCTGCAGATTCATGTAGAGGCGGTGGCTGTTGCTCAGGAGTTGCAGGAGGTGTCTGGAGCGCATGGGGCAGCCTGTGTAGTAGATGAGCTTCCTGGCGGAGGGCAAGCCATCTGGCAAAATCTCAAATTTCTTACCCTGTGGAGGGAAAGTGTGAATCAGATTCAGGAAGAAAATCTCTGATTTGCCAAGGTTCTCTCCATTATCCATTTAGTAAGGAAAACTACGGATTCAGAAATACATGCATACACCCCTGTGTTCATTGCAGCGTTATTCACAATAGCCAAGACTTGGAAGCAACCTAAGTGCCCATCAAGGAACGAATGGATAAAGAAGCTGTGGTATATGTACACAATGGAATACTACTCAGCCATAAGAAACGATGAAATCCAGCCATTTGTGACAACATGGATGGACACTGAGGGTATAATGCAAAGTGAAATAAGTCAGAGGGAGAAGGTCAAACACCGTATGATTTCCTTCATTAAGTAGTAGATAATAACAACAATAAACAAACACATAGGGACAGAGATTGGATTGGTGGTTACCAGAGGGGAAGGGGGGAGGGAGGAGGGTGAAAGGGATAATTCAGTACATGTGTGTGGTGATGGGTTGTAATTAGTATTTTGGTGGTGAACATGATGTAATCTATGCAGAAATAGAAGTACAATGATGTACACCTGAAATTTTTACAATGTCATAAACCAATGTTACTGCAATAAACAAAAAATTAAAAAAAAAAAAAGACATGCATAAAGCTCCAATCAAAATTCTCTGAGGAATAAATTACTGTTCTCCTTTTCAAAAATGTCACAGAACAGAGGATTACCAAACATTCAGGGAAGCGTCTAGCCAGAGTCTTTTGGTTCTATCTTTGGTTTATCTGGCTGGGTAGGCCATTCACATCAAGGAGAAGAGAAGGACCCATCGTGAAAGCACCCTCCCACCACTCCCACTGAGCAACAAGACGACAGATTCCAGAAGAGGAAGGCACTCAAACATTTGTGGAACACTTACAACGTACCAACCACTGCGCTAGGCACTGAGAGAATGGCAGTGAATAGAACAGACAAGGACCCTATCTTCACAGAGCCACATTCTGGTGGGAGAGATGGTAAACAAACACATAAAATAATTATAGTTTATGATAAATTCTGGGAAGGAAGCAAATAAGGAGTTGTGATAGTGAACAATACAGGATATCTATTTAGGATTTAAGAAGATGGAAAACTTCTCTGGCTGGACAAAAGAGGGAGCTGGGAGCTGGAGGGATAGTGGAGGGATGAGACAGGAAGGAGAAGGAAGAAATACGAGGAGTATAAGTCTCTCCCTATGAGGAGAGATGTAAGGACTCTCAGGCATTAAGTCTGGGCTCATTAACGTCAAGTTCTAAGTTGAGGGTGAGTTCAGCAAAGTTCCTCAGTTATGGGGTATTATGAACTCCTTTAACTTTCCTAATAATGAATAAGGCAGCAGGACTACAAAAGGGAATATTCCAGACACAATGATTGTCAGCAAAGGGGAAGGTAAAGCAGAGGGAGGCATATTCTAACTACACACTCAAGTCAGTGCAGAGCAACAGGGGTCATGTGACTCCGACAGGGGCAGGATTTTTCACCTCTGGACTTTCCATTTTAAAGGAACTCAATGCTAGAACGGTAACAACTGACACTTAGTGAGCAATCAGCACGTATTAACTCATTTAATGGTCACCACAATTGAACATTAAAATCAGGGTCAATTATCCTTGATTTGGAATAGACACTGAAGCACAGAGAAGTTAAGGGACTTGCCCAAGGTCACACAACCAGGCAGGGCTGGGCTGGCTGCAAGAAGGATCACCTGGGAAGTCTGTCAACATAGATTCCTGTCCTCCACACCTACTTAATCAAAAATCTCCTGAGGGAGGAGGAGGAGGAGGCCCAGAAATCTGTATTTTAAACAAGCTCCTCAGATAAGCCTGATGCATAACTGGAGTCAGGGACCACTGAGTCTAGGACCCTTAGAAAGTTCCCTTTCATAAATGTATTTGATTACTACTTAATCTGGGACATGAAAGGGGCAAGTGGTGTAATAATTTGCTCATTTTCAAACAGCTCAGATCCTTTCACAAAAAGCCTGAAGGAGAGAGCCAGCGAGGAGGCAGCAGGCCAGGCCCCACGGAACGCAAGAGTAAAGTGAGATCAGACTGAACCGTGCCCAAGCACTTCAAGTCCTGTAGAGTCAGAAACAGGTCTCTGACTCACGAGGCAGTGGGAGGCAGTGCCCAAGTGTTGCTTGGCAATACCGCCCTTTGTCCACATGGACACCTTCCTGACGGGAGAGAAGCCCATGGGGACAGAGCCTCATCTTCCTCCTTTCTTTGTGTATTTTTCCAATAATTTCTGAACAAAGCAAAATTCAGGGTTTTAATGACCACTAGATATTCACATTATTAACTGTAATTCTTTGAACCCTACCAAAAAACGGATAAAGCGGGCAAAGTAGAGAAACAGCTGGGAAAAATAAAACATTTGCTCTGACAAAAGGAAGTGTACCATTCTCAGTATTCTAAAAATAAAAGTATTTTTCCTGTTAAGCACTGTAGACCTTTCTTTATAATGACGAGTTTCAGAGTCAGATATGAATAGAAACATCTTTTCATATTACTCTTGATTCTTCGCTCAGAAGAAGCAACTTCCAAAGGAACTGGCCGACCCCACACTAAGAGCCATCTACCCTCTGATTACGGCTTTCTGCTTTCCCACCCCTCAGCCGCACGCTTTTTAACACAACTGCATTTGATGAACTCATCTGTGCTTTCCCACCACATTTCTTCTACAACTAGAATAACGAGGGTCATGAGGTGGGAAGCAGACACACAAACCAAACTTAGTCATTTCTCATGCTGTAAGAGTCTTTGATTTTAGGTTCACTACTGAGTGCCAAGGAGTACAGCACAGGCGTAAGAATGTAAGAGAGCTACTAATTATCTTCATCTTCAATTTTTAAAAAATATCTTTTGTGCCTGGGACAATATTGTTTAAAAAACAAAGAAACAACAGTCCACAAAAACAAACAACCGAGTAATTTATTTTAAACTTACCACAAACACCAACTTTCCAACATTTGTCCAGGGGAAATCGTAAAGTAATTGTTTCTCTTCATCTACATTCTGTGGAAAGAGTTATAATGCACAGTTACTGAGGTAATGGACAGACACTATAAAATGGTCTTACATCTCTCCCAGAAAACGGAAATACAGTAATTAAAATCTAAGAGAGGTCCCCAACTCTCCCTGGAGACGGGCAGACAGTAACTAAAGATGAGTGGCACAATTCTGCAGCTCTGGTTCCTGAGGGGCTGCACTAAGTGGTCTTTTCCCAGCAACCTATTCCCTTCTGGCCTGTCCCTAAATTTAAATAGAGAGTCCAACAGACTCAGGCGTTGCAGAGATGAGATAAGGCACGCTTTCATAAGCGGACATTCTGCCTATATCCAGAGATGAGATAAGGCACGCTGACTCGCACAAGCCGACATTCTACCTGTATCTGAGATAAGACGTCCTTATTTTCCCCTAAGTCTCACAGAAAGAGGCATTCTCTCTCCCCTGCTGACGCTGTAGGGTAACACCATCCCACTCGCAAAAGGTGACAGTTACTACTTCTTCATGGGACAAGCTGCATCAGCAAAGTGTAACAGAAATTAAAACACCTGGTCAGGCACTGTATTAAAATCTCAGTTTTCTTCCCACAATTATAAACGCACCAGACGATGAAAGAAAATATTTAAAATCAACGACACACAAAGAAAAATGTCTGGATATTAGCAGTCTGTTAGTGATGACCCTGGGCCCATCTTTGGCTCGCCGCTTTCTGTTCTAGAGGACTTATTACTGCCAAGGGTCAGACCGCACCCCTTCATCTATCCCACATCACCCACAACTGTGCTCGACAACCAGGAAGTGACCACCAGTCAATGGCCGGAAACGGACCAGTGAACCTACCGCAGGACCACACAGGCAGGCACAGTGTCAATGTCAGACACAGTGGACATCGTCTGACACTTACTTCTCATTTACTAACCTGAAAAATCTGGATTCCACGCATGGTCAATCCAAGGGTCAGAGAGGCTTCCATTTCCCTTTTATCCTGTAGGAATAAAATTAGAATATATTTTTATTCTACAGTTGACAGTTCAGCACCAAAGAAACAGAAAGAGAAATTTCAGGATTGGAAAGTTTTTGACTTAAAATAACTTTGCTCATCTTATCTTTCTGCATCTCTAGTTTTTTACAAAGTTTAAGAACACCATGAGTGCATATTAAATCAATAATGGTAAATTCTACTTTTTAAATCTCTGAGATTTCAAAGCATTGGTGTTTTTACTATATTACATACATTTTCATATCTGACAATATTCTAAATACTTATGTTATTGAGAACTCCAGTAAACAACTATTTTTGCTGCTTTTGCATTACTTTTTTACCTTCCATCTTATGCTTAACCTTTTCTCAAATGCTAGAATCTTGAATCTAATGTCATAGTTATATTCTGAGATGCAACAGACTTTATATGTTTCAAACTAGGTAAATCCCCCAGCTCTGAAGCCAAAATTAGAGGTAAGCCTAAATATTTATGGCTGTCTCATGAGGACAGACAATAAAGCTGTAAAAGCTCTATATTCAGTTAGTTTGGAAAGAAAATATTTATTTTTAAGCAGTTCAATTATCACTTGCCAATGTGATATACATTCTATTAGCTAAACAATAAATAATAGAAAATAAACTATGAGTATAAAGGAAAAAGTTCTACAATTAAGAATTACTCTGAAATTTGGCTACATCTTTTAAATGCTCATCTGTAATAAGTGGATATAAGCTATGAAGTTCAAAACAGAAGATAAATAAGATTACTAAGTCACAAATATTTTCATTATGAGATTTCTCAACAAAAACAATAAATGAATATGTACAGATCTTTATTACGTTTAGTACTAGGTTTTCTGATGAACATGGGAAGAAACATTTTTAGAAAATGCACCCTCACCTGCAGAGTAAATAAGGGAGAGAGCCTACTTTCACTATTTGGGCCGTTCTAGCCAACTAACATACTTTTACATCAAGACAGTAATTTCTCTTTCAGAGCTGTTCTGATTGCTTCCTGAAATGAGACTGTGCTCATAAAAATGCTGGTCGTGCATGTATGAGGTGTCTGTTACTGGGAAAGCGGTGCAGAGGGTTTTTTCCAGAATATTTCCTATCCTCTGTTCACCTTACTTCCATTTTATAAGCAGGTCTTAAATGAAGCAGCTTTAATGGCTCCCACTAGATTTCTCCAAACTCTGCCCATGAGGTAATATCTACTTCCCCACTTCATTCAGCTACATTATTAATTATCTTGTTTTAGGCAGACAAGAGAATCATTTTCTGTGCCATAGAGATGTAGATTACTTTAAGCAAATTTGAAAGATTAATTTTTATACAAAAGATAAATTGGGGAAATCTACTTCACCAAAGAATTCTTGAGAGGATTCTTTAAAATACTAAACTTCCCTAGCCAATAAGGAGCAATTACTATTTATGTAGCACTCACTAATGTGCCAGGCCCTCCACCTGTTTATTATAGATTCATTATCTCATAGAATCTTCCTAACATTGTGAAATGTTCAATCATTCCCACGTAATAGATGGCCCAGGATTATTCTGCCTAGGATCCCAGTAATAGCAAGTGGTCAGAGAGGGTTTCTAATTCATATATAATTCCAAAGCCACAGTTTTTCCAATCTATCATTCATACTTCTAATACATTTTAAAATACAGATTGTCAAAAATGTCATTTATTTGCATTTTCTCATATAAACTGAAGTGTCACATATGAAATCTCTTAAGGGGAAAAAAATAATTCAGTCCTTCAGGAATTGAGCCAAAGAGATCTTATGGAACTCAATCATGCTTTTCAAGGATGACAGGGCTTTAACAATGCCTCTCTTGGGGATGGAAGAGAGGAAAAAACACCATCCTCTGGTCCCTTATTGAGTTTTCTGAGCCAGCCAGAAGATCACTCAGCAATACATCCCACCTCCAGTCCAGAGTCCAATGGTCTAGTTGTACCAACCTCACCACAACGGTGGGGCAGAGACACCAAGCACAGAGACAATGATAATGGTAATAGTAGCTGAACATCAGGCTAAGGTGGCATGGCTTTCTCATCCATTTGTTCCTTTAGTCTTCAACAATCCTCAGAGGTAGGCAGGTCACCATCCCCATTTAACCACAGGGAAACTAAAGCACAGAGAGGTTAAGTAACTTGCCTAAGGTCACAGAGTAAGAGGTTGACTCCATCCTATCTGGCAAGAGTTCTTGCCAAAGAAGTGACACTTGTGAAACAGGGAGAGGCATGGAGAGGTGGAGGGGAAGAGAAGATGACAAATAGTGTGAGAGATTAGCCTGGCCCCAGCTATTATTTGGGAGTGTGACCTCTGACCCAGGATGGGAAAATGAGGCTAGAGAGACACAGGACACAAAAGAGGGTCACAAAGTTCAGAGAGCGAGGGGAGCGTGAGGTTCCTGGTTTAAGCACAGGAAGACCTGGGTTGAATTCCGGCTCTGCCACTTACTAGTTTTGTAGTCTTTGCTCGGTTTCCTCTTCTGTAAAATGAAGATTACAGTTCCTATCTTACAGACTTGTGAGAATTTTAAAAAAAAGGATAAATATAAAGTGTGCCCTGTCAACACAGCACTCAACAAACACTGGCTGTTGTGTGACATTCTTGTGATTAATGGATACAATGCAGGCATGGCTTCACTTTGAGGAATATTAAAAATTACTGATCAAACGTTACTGCCCAAGGCAGAAATGCAGATTTCGGAACGCGAAAAATAAGTATTTTGTAATCACTGAAAAGGCAGATTCACAACTTGCAGCCACTTGTTATCTAATATTAGAACCATTAAAAAAGACTCCCCCTGGCTCTGGCCCCAGGAAAAGCATCGCTGACCCCAAGACTGACCCACGACAACAAACAGCAGTTCACGTGAAACTCCTAAAAAAGCCCGCTAAAAAGCGAAACGACAACTGTAAATAAAAGCTGCTTCTGATTGAAGAGGCATTCTTTTCTCCGCAGCTGCAGACTCCCTACAGTTTTGTACCTTATACAGTCTGTAGTAATGAACGGCCACGTCGTCCAGTCGGACGGCCTCTTTGATGTATTTAAGATGAGCCTCGGAAGCTGTCAGTGCAAACTGATCTTTGTGCATGTTTGGGATGTGCTTCAGGATGTAGTCTTTCCCTCTCTTGGCAAGAACCTGTCGGAATAAACGGGTGTGCAATGAGACACTTGCTGGAGGGGTGTAAGGACCACTTTCACCCCCAAAATGGTTCAAGGGTCATGTAAACTGGCTAATTTCCCTAGGAAAGTCCAGCTTCTATTCTGTTTTCACCATCTGTTGTTAGGCTGAATCAGCTCATGCTAGAAGCTACAAAGTCAATTTAGCTGTAGGACTGCGTATCTAAGAAGAAAAGTCACAAGAAATGGGAAAAAATGTTCTCTTGGCTTTAAACTCACCAAGAAAAAAACCATGCAAACTTGCAAAATTTGTTACACATCATGTTTATACTTGCAAACTTATTGGTACCATGAATACATCTGTCAGCACATCTTCAGGTTCTAGAAACTACTTCACTCCTCTAAAATTACAGCCACAGAGCGGGAGTTCCTAAAAGTTACTGCAAAGAAGGTGGGGAGCTGGGAAGAATCCTCTGAAACATGTTTGGTTTTGTGTAAGAGGCGACAGGAGCACTCTGACCGTTTCTGAGGAAATGTCACCCAGATGTTCCCCGCACTGCACCGTGGCTCAGATTCTCACGGGCAGCAGCCTGCACTTTCAGAAGTCAATGGCACACAGCTTCCAGCAGCTGCAGGCTAGGCGAGGTGTCCACTACTTACAGTCTCCACTGATGTCACAAGGACTACAAAATACAGACAGAATTACGCTAAGGGAGCAAAAAGTAGTGTTTAAAATCATCAGTTTTAAAAGTTAGAGAATTTTTAGTTCTAAAATGTTTTTGTAAATATTGACATTTTGTTTCTTCCTATTAAATTAAACATAATAAATTACTGACCAATTATGAAGTTTTGCTGAGAACTCAAGTTACAGATCTTTCTTTCTAGACCACTTTTATACGGAGACCATCTAAGTCAGTATTTGTCAACCTTTTTCAGGTGAAAGAACACAGAGAAAATGGTATTTGTAAGGGCACTGAAGTACATGGATTTGGAGACCCCAAGGGTTGAGGAAACTGGTATTCGACACTTGGGATGCCAGGGCACACGGACCGGGAAGCTCTGATTTAAATGACCGAGATTCAGGGAGTCTCTGATGACAACTAGGGAATGTCAACAAAGCTAATTTTGGTCCAACAGACGGTGACACGTACAAGGTAGACACCTTTTGTGCTTTCTCTTCAACAATGGAAGCACTGTCAGTCAACAAACACTTGTATTGAGTACCTCAATGCGAAGTGCTCAAGAAACAGAAAGGGGGGCCGGCCCAGTGGCACAAGCAGTTGAGTGCGCGCGCTCGGCTGCAGTGGCCCAGGGTTCACTGGTTCGGGTCCCAGGCATGCACTGACGCACCGCTTGTCAAGCCATGCTGTGGCGGTGTTCCATATAAAGTGGAGGAAGATGGGCACGGATGTTAGCCCAGGGCTGGTCTTCCTCAGCAAAAAGAGGAGGATTGGCATGGATGTTAGCTCAGTGCTGGTCCTCCTCACAAAAAAAAAAAAACAAAAAAAGAAACAGAAAAGGTTAAAAGTCTATGCCTGTCCTTTGGTTTACTGGGGGCAAAAGATAAATAGACCCCTTGAAATTAAGATGTAAAATACTGATGTCCAGGGTCTTATTGAGCCCAGTGGAGGGGCACTGGGCAGCTGGACAATCTGCCCAGAGGGAACACGGCTGAGCTGAGTCCTGGAGGATGAACGGGAGTTAGCCAGGTGGACAGAGACAGGGGCTTCACTGGCTACAGGAGCTGCAGCAAGGAAGGCCAGAAGTGTGAACAGCATAAGACTGAGGCGACACAGAAAGTGCTGGACGCTCTGGTGCACAAAAGTCAAGGTGCAGGACAGCCAGGAAGGAAGTGGAGAGCTGGCAGGGACCACATCATCCAAGTTCCCCAGTCATGTCGGGAGCCTGGGCCTCCCTCTGCAGGTGCCAGGGGAGTCCCCGAAGGTTCAGATCAGAAGCAGAATCAAGTGGTCTGCGTGCTGTGGGGCAGAGGTTGCAGCAGGGACAAGCCTCCACAGCAGCAGTGAGTGCTGACGAGAGCTGGGACTGGAGACGGAGGGAGCCATGACTGGGACGCAACAAACATTTAGGAGGTTAACAAGAAGAACATAAGAGAATCGTGCCTCTTCCGCTGGGTGATGCATCATCAAAATCAAGTGTTTATGTCAGAAGCTGTTCTGGCTGGAGGGAGCAGGGAGAAAAAGGGTGACAAGCGGAGTTCTGTGGGGCACTCAAGTTTCTGGGTGACGGTGGACGGCAGCACCACTCGCTGAGATCGGATCACAGAGGCAGGGATACAAAGAACCGAGGTGGGAAGAAGTTTGATTTGGGACATTCTGAGCTCGAGGTACCTCTGGTAAACAGCTATCTCATGGACACGGGGCAGAGCAACAGACGTGGGAGTTGCCAGCACAGAGGTGGTTGTTAAAAGCACTCATTTGAATGAGATCTCCCAGGACGTGAGTGGTTCGATGTCAGATGCAGCCGAGAAATACAGGAAAAGAAGTGAAAAGTATCCACTGGACTTGGCAATTTAAAGGTCGCTGGTGACCTCAGGGATAGCACCACGAGTGGACTGGTGGGGAAAGCAGGCAGACGGAAGTGGGCTGAGGAGTCTGTGTGGGAAGTGAAGAGGCTAAAAAATCAAACAGATGTTACTTTTTCAAGAAGCTTTACTGAGAAGGGAAGGCGAGAGTGGCAGCTCCTCTCTCCCCTCCTCCTTTCTTTCCTGAGAGTGGAGAGGTGCGAACCAAACATGTTCTGTATGTTCTGACTGTAAAGAGTGAGTTTGAATAGAAGCTAAAGAGAAGTCAGAGCAGAGACCTGGAGGAAGGAGGGAGACCGACGTGGACAGGGCGGGCTGGAGAAAGCATGGCTGGGACAGTCTGTGCTGGAACAACCTAGTGCTCTTGTTCCAGTCAGGCTGCTTCCTCTCCCGGAGTGAAGGCAGTCGGAGCAGGGAGTTTACTTGTTTGTTCTCTCAGCACAGGAAAAGCTGTGAATGATCTCACCTTTTCGAGAGTAATGTTCTTCTCCTTTCAAAGGGGAAAAATGCTGCTGGAATTAAGAGTAGATAAGCAGGTCGAGGCCACGTACATGCCAAAAGAAGGCTGGCAAATTCCAAGTCCCAACCACACTTTAAAGAGAACAATCCTCTTCCCCGTTAACTACAAGCAGATCAAGAACATCAAGAGATTGTGTGTACCATGGTCTCAAGTGTTATCATGAAGGATTTTACCGGCCATAAAACATCTGGGTTCTCATTTCTTGAAGCAACACGAGTAGCAGCACAATGAACCAAAAATGTGCTAAACAAAACACTTTAGAATCTGAAAATAGTGCCTACCCAAGATGGGAAGTAAGCCTCTGGCTCAAAGTATTTTCCATAGTGTTTATTCCTTTTGAAGTTCCCAAGATCAGCCTGCAGGGCAAAGGCTGCCAGCAGGAAGTAGGCCTCCTCCCGGAGCACACACTGAGAATGAAGAACTTGTTTTCTCAGGTGCCAGTAATAGTAGTATCTTGCTGCTCTGTCACTGGGAAAATAAAAGAAAACAGAACTCACATTCTGACGGAACAATCCAATGGCATGTAAACAGAACCCAAACCCTGCTATCCATCTGGTGACAAGGGCTCTTCCGTTCTGCTCCCTCCTCCCTCCCTCTTGCCCCACTCCCCACTCATTGAAAAGGGGCAGGTCCCAGGGAGCCGGAACTCCACGTCAGGCTCCCCAGACTGCAAAAATAACATTTCCTAAGGCCTATAACATCTGGTTCATTCCGAGAATGGAAAAAGGTCTGCATGGTTCACTCCAATACGTAAATATTGCATTGAACAAGTATCAGAAGAGAAGCCTCGGCATTTGTTGTCTCTATTAAAATAACTTTGCTACAATGCTGCTGCGCACATGACGTAAATAAGGACAAATCTGAGGGGACAATCCTAGTTTTTATGTTTTGCTGTTCTTTTTGTTTCATTTTTCAGCTGAGCACATTACAAGTACTCTTAAGGCCCTTCCAAAAATGTTTGTTTATATGCCCCTCTAGAAAAAACCTCCTTAACTATAAATAGTGGGGGTTTTTTCCCTCTCAGAATGAATGAACTGAAAGCTTTCCTTAAATCTTCTTTTTTCATTAATTTATGGGTGTGTTTTTATAGACACATGACTATCATGATACACCTCACAAATGGAAATACCAGTAGTGTGCTCATTGCAATCTGCTGAGGTCAGAAATAAATATAGTCCCCATTAAATACGCTGGGTAAGAAGTGCTGACTGAGAAAAACATGGTCCACCTCCAAAAAGTGTCACAGGCAAATAGGAGGCCTTTGTGATCAAAGTAAAAATGCAGGAAAAAATGTGTGTGTGTGTGTGTGTGTGTGTGTGTTCAACGAGCTTATCTGCTCCCTATTATTTTCGGTTGAATGTTGACCTGGGATTCATAGCTCGTTAGCTGATGGTGATAAAAACATACGAGTTTATTTTACTCAGGTCATGTCTAAGTATGAAGAGCTAAAATACAGCATTTGTGTAATTTTTCCCCTTGGGAGAGAGTACTTTTCAGAGCGCTTTGTTTATAATGCTGACCACACAGTGTTTGAACTAGTTCATCCCTGGGGAAAAGGGCAGAATTACAGGATGAATTAAACATTCATTACCCCCAGGGGGTTAATTAGTGGCTAAATAATATATTTTCCTTCTTTCCAGTGCATTCCATACTTAGTAGGTCAATTGAGTAAAAATTTTACATAAACTGAGAATAATTTTAAAAGTTTCTCAGCCTTTTAAAAAATTCTTTATGGACTATATTTTTTACCTTTCAATTTGCATACGGCAATGATATAAATATTAAGAGTGAATCTCACATATAACTCACTAGCCAGATATATGTCTCTTGGGGTTTCTCAAAATTTAAAAATAAATAACTAAAACAGAGTTCACATTTCTACTGCTTTCTATCAGCCCACAAAATCCCCTCTGAAAGTCTTCCAGCACTGAACCCTCCTGTACAAATGATGAACTGAGCTTCTGAAATGACGACTTCTGAGTCTGTATCATGGGCATAGCATTATTCCTGCACCCACCTCCAGGAAAAGAATCAATTTCTTGCCCTTGCCAAACTGCGTCTAAGGTTCTCACAGGACAGCTCCACTGGGCGTAATCTTAGCTTTATAGCTACTGCCAAGAACAGAAGCAAGACCACAAAGCTGACAAGAAAACCAGGCGATAGCAACACCCAGGCGTTTGACAGAAGAAAGTTCTTGCTCCTGCTAGCCCACCACCAGAAAGCAGCACGCTCCTGTAACCTAGTTCTCCACTCTTCACAAAGGTGCTAGTTCCCACATGACAGAAGTATCTTTTTGGTGACTGATTTGTTATTGAAAACATGGAGAACAGAAAATGTGAGCCAGCAATACTGTTAATATTTTCATCGACATTCCAACATTATCATTCATTCATTTATTCATTCATTCAACAAATATTTATTGAGTGCCCCTGTACCTCAGTTTTAGGGACTGAGGATACATGAGTGTGCAAATAGATTTTTTTAAAAATCCCTGCTCTTGGGGCCAGCCCGGTGGCGCAAGCGGTTAAGTGCGCGCACTCTGCTGCAGCAGCCCAGGGTTCGCCGGTTCGGATCCCGGGTGTGCACCGACGCACTGCTTGGCAAGCCATGCTGTGGTGGCGTCCCATATAAAGTAGAGGAAGATGGGCATGGATGTTAGCCCAGGGCCAGTC